GGGCACGCGCGTTTCGCGTTGACGATCACCGTCGCTGTGTTCCGCCGGGCGGTTCGACATCATAGAGCTCCTGCACGGCGATCTACACCGTCTCCGACGCCCACAAGGTCCCCGACACTCGCCGAAAGCGTCTCGGCCGAGAAGCGGCGAATGGTCTCCGCGGCCTGTTTCGACCGCGTCCGGGCCTCGGTCGAGGTTTGTGCGACCTGTCTGTCCATCGACGGTCCCGACCGCAGCCGCGGGCGGCTGGATCGCCGCAGAGAGCGCCTTGGAGCGCCTCCAGGGGCTCAAAAGTGCTCATTTAGGCCTAAATTTACTCCTTCACGCCCCATAAACTCGCTCTCTGCAGCGATCCCGCACCCCACGGCGCGGGTCGGGACCGTCGGCGGACAGGGCGGGCGCAGGAGCCTCGAGCAAGGTCGAGGCGCGGCCGCAAAGCCCTGCCAAAGGACCCCGGCGACCACCGCTCGTTCGGCGCGGACGCGCCGACGCGCGAGAACGGGGGCGCGCGGACGACGACCAGCGGTCCGCGCGGACGTGGTGGTACCATACCCGACCCCTCGATGCTTAGCTGTCGCCGGAGAGTCACATGGCGCAGCTGCGCAGGCCCTCGAATCCCTCGGCCGAACGCGGCCGAACACCTCGACCATGTTGTTGCACATGTGCATGGCGCGCGTCACGCACCTCAAGCGGTTGGATCGATCGATCATCATCCCCGACCCCTTCCCCACGCACTCGGAGGACATGGGCACGCCCGTGTCGACTCCGAATCAGACCCGCTCGGCTCGATTACGCGCATCGGCGCGGACGCGCCGACGCGCGAGAACGGGGGCGCGCGGACGACGACCAGCGGTCCACGCGGACGTGGTGGTACCATACCCGACCCCTCGATGCGTAGCTGTCGCCGGAGAGTGACATGGCGCAGCTGCGCACCCGATCGGCGCCACCCGCCGAAGGTCGCTGCTCGAGCACGACCGCTCGCGCTCCGCTCGCGTCGTCCAGCCGCGCCACCGCGCGGAGAGGCCCGTCGGATGCATGGCTCGGCGCTCCTGCGTTTTTTTCCGCGACGGAATCGGGGAACATGGCGCCGCGCACGGCGTAAAACACGCTCTCCGAGGCGCTTCGACGGCTCTCGGGACAAGCCGAGGACATTGGCCGGGGGTAAAATCGCAGTGGCTTCTCGAGGGGTAAAAGTGCACCGCGATAATGTGAAGGCTTGATTTGGTTTTCGACCCTCGCCGGGGGTCGACTTTCCGACGCCTCTGGACGCCATCGAGGTCGATTTCGCTCTGGTTTTGCTGTTTAGTTCCCTCGTCCGGCCCTTCGTCCCGGGTCTGGAACGTCCAACTGTCCGAATGTAAAGAACCTAAGTTCCGTACATCAACTTGGCGTTAAGGTACAGTCCGTAGAAGCAGGATGAGCCTGAGCGTAGTGCGCTTCGTCGCGTTGATGGGCAACAAGAAATATATAGGTCCAACACTAACTAGAGCTTAACAGTATTAAATCGGGCGCAGCGTATGGGCGCGAGTCTTTGACGCGCCCTATGTGCGAACAAAATTATGTGTGCTATGTACTTGACCGCATCGAAGGACTGAATCATCTGCCCCTGCGAGCCATAGTGCACCCACCCTCCCTGGCTGGGCCTTCCCACTGGGGAGGCTCTCCTCCCTTTCCCTTTTTCCTATCCCAAAGTACTGAGATCCTCCCTCCCTGGCGCTAACGCCAGTAGGTCAGTCCACGTAACTCCCGCGGCTGCCCCTGCGAGGCCCAGGGAAAATTTCTGAGAGCGACAGACGACAACTCGTACTCGGGGTACGAGATGCATCTTTCTCTGTCTCTACATGTAGACGTCTCCTGATTATAATATCCTACCACCCGCGCTTATTTCTAGTATGGATGCTAGTATTGTGGATTATTAGTATTATTCCCCCTGCAACGATACCTAGGCGCTGCGACTATTTTTTGTGTTGTACATCGCCTTTTTTTTTTGTTACCGAGAAGGGCGGTATGAATGGCAGCCAACGGCCCGTCGGCGCGCTTCCTAGGCAGAAGATGAGAACGAGGGTCGCGATACCCAGATCAGAGATGATAGAGGGTATCCGGACGATGCACCGCGTCGAAGCTGTGAGCCATATGGTCGCATCATTGTTTTGAGTGAAGCGCACTAGGTTGACGTGGCTGACACGCAGTCATCGGCTCTTACGTTGACATCTGGTGATGTCACGGCAACGACAAAGACCGCATCCCTGTCATCAAACATTATCGAGGGCGATTCGACAATCACAACGACGCCCACGGTCGAACTTACGAAGTGGTGAATAGTTCAAGAGGTTACATACGTAGTTTTGACTAGGTTTGGCTATCAGGTCTAGTCGGCGTGACGGAATCAAAGATGAAAAGTCAAAACATATCGGACAGTGGCAAAAGAAAGAATACAGTTTAGGCCGCTATTCTCGTGGGGGGTTCTGGTCGTGTTGTGGTGAAAGAGAACAGATCGCATTTCCTTGTAACACAGCAATGCGTGAACGATGGAGGCGAAGTCAAGTTGAAACAGACAGCGATGAGGCTAAAAGGGTTGTGAGGCGAGCTATGGTATCGATAGTGTGGTTTAAACAGATAAAACAAGTGAGCATTACGTAGGCTGCGAATGCGAGAATCGTTTGGGAAATGGAGGGCAAAAAAAAAATGGCACGAATCAATTCAACGAAACGCGTGGTAATCGAGAGACACACTAATTCCGCTTCGAAGCCCAATGTCACTGCAGGAACTGAACAGCCTGCGGTGGAGATCAGAGACAGGACGTGTGTTCGTGGGAGTTCATATATCCCGTAAATTTTTCCTTGGTTTATTTTTTGCGCATCGTTGTAGGCGCATACGTTCGGTGCCCATCGTCACTTTGCAGTCTCCGATGTGTGGCCCAGCGATTCCAGCGTCGGTAGAAATCTCACCTTGCATCTTAGGTTCCAATGCTTGTCCAATCTTTTCGGAATGCAGATCACGAGTGGGCCATTGATGAAAGTCTCTTTGCTGCATGTACCCTCTGCAGCAATATGGCTGGACGGACTGCACTTATTCAACATGGCATGCTTAAAGCCGTGCAAAGCGCTATGCTGCGAGCGCTTGTCAATGACCCAAACGAGTCTGAGATGAAAGATGGCCCTTACGTACTCAACAAAGAGGCCAAAAGATCATGTGCGGAACTGTTGGCTGCGTTTGCCAAGTGTAAAATTTGTAGAAGCTCCCTCTCAGCGAAGCCAGAAACTGCGACAGTCATCATCGGCGCACTCCGATCGCAGATCCTGTGTCTAGGTTGGATACTCGAACTGAAAAATCAATTGGCTTAGGTTCCTTCCAGTTGTGCAATCTGAACGTGGCTCTCAAAATGGTGTGCACACATCAGCCAGATCGACGCCCGAGGTCCAGGACAATCTTTTGATGGCACTTTCTGCAGCTACTGACTCATCTTCGTCCCAGCATGCGGTGTTAACATGGTGCACGAATGCCAAATTTGAGGAGAAAGACTCCTTTCATGACGAACGTGACTCAATGATATCTAGCGCAGAATATGGCGCTGTGCCTGCATCCTCTCCCGCTTACTTGGTCATCTCCGAGTGTATCCGTGTGGCAACATCACTTCTAGCTACTCTGGCAACCATGGAAGCAAATGGAGATCTTCGTGGCAAGAACGCGCTTCATGGCAATGAGAAACACAAAAATTACCCCCCAGGAGCCCAGGTCCAACGTACTTTTGATCTTCTCCAAGCAGCGTGTGAAGTCTTGGAACACCTTGGTTCGCATGGCTCTGCCGCTCGTACTATGCTGCGTAGCGCTGGAGTTGTCGAAACTTGTTTTTATGTTATCGCTGCTATACGAGACTATGCAGCACGACACGACAATGAAAAGCTTGGCACAAACGCGCTTGCAGCCGCCGTCGCTACTCTTCGGCGAGTAAGCATTGTAGCAGGGCATGCATATCCAAACTCGCTGCACGGTGTGCCCATCGTTTATGACGTCCTTCGCTCCCAGCTCTCACGTCCGAGCATTCAGCAACAAGGTCTTCAGTTAATGCACGTGCTTGGCCGTACAGGAGACGGGGCTAGAAAGCTTGATTCCATGCCTGGTTCTTGGCAATGGCTCGGTCGAGCACAGTTCCCCATGCCAAAACGTGGGGAACCATACCCGTGGGTGGCTGCGAAGGACCCTGCTGAGGTCAGTGGGCAATCCCCAAAGACTCACGAGGCTTGGAGCGCTACGCGCCTAGCAAATTTTCTCAACCTCCGTGGCCTAAAGCAGGACTCTTGTGAGGACTTGCAGCAGAACGTCGAAGAGCTCCGCATCTTGTCACTATTGCCATTTGAGGGTGAGTTTCCGAATGCATGGGAAATTCGAATGGCTGCCTTCGAATCTCGAAATGATGTGAGCTTCATTGGCGGCATCAGGTCCAGAAAAGCCACTGAAGCGGCCCATGCTTAAATAATGCCATAGAAAAGTAGTACACGAAGCAGCAGTCTGAGACCCTTTACAGCATGGTGGCGCCCCTGCCTCCCGCTGCTCATCTGGAGTTCGGTGAGACGTTGCCCGTGTGCAGCTCGAAGATGGAGCGGCATTCTACCTCCCGTCGCATGAGTTTTCTGTAGACGGCGGCGACTTCAGATCATGCGCGAGCACGCGGGGACGGCGTCTCCTGCGTCGCTGGGCCCGAACTTCCCAGGCCGTCGACTACAGTGCTAGAGGCGGGGGTGAGCATCAGACCCCGCCGGGGTAAAAAGTGATCGAATGACACTGTAGTCGACACTTGTGGCTGAGGAACGTTGAAATGCAACTTTTCGTGGCGGGTGAAGATTTGAGTTGATGGCCCAGCGCGCAAGACGACACTTGGGCTATTTCAAAAAAAAGAACCAGAGGAATCGGTGGCCATGGGGCCGAGAGCGAGATCTTCAAAGTTGTGGTTTACATGGCCATTTTAACCTCCCGCGGCTGAAATTTCGCTGCGGGCTTGCATCAAGATTGCTGCATTTTCGATCATTCTAACCTTCCTCTGCCACAGGTAAGCTAGCCATCACCGGCGGGGGGGTCTTCACATGCCAGGTAGATACCAGGTGCAGCAGCTAGGCAGATTCGAGAGAGGGATAGAAAAAAAATAAATCCTACTCACCTAGCGGCTCGCCGGTACAGAGCCGCAGCGCAGAGCTGCCAGGTTCTCTGCACAGGAACTGGCGTTAACCCCTAGCGGGAAGGCGCACCCACCACAAACCCATCCTATAAGAGGGCCATTTCCCGATTGCCCAGCTTGGTGTTGTCTTTCCTTGTCCCCTTGGCCAAGAAGTCTGAAGCAAGTCAAACATCGCTAAGTGAGCGTGATCGACTGCCCCAGACTGGCCTATAGATAGGGAAGAGGACCCTAGACCTCATGCCAGCGATCGAATATCTTGAGCGTGGAGGTCACGAGCGGCCCCGAGGTCCCATGACGAACGTTGCTACTTCCAAGTACTCTCCAAGTTATGCACATCGAAATAAAATGCAATAAGATTGGCTTATGTAGTGTCCAGCTTAACGACAGTATAACTCACGTTCGATTGTTGGCGGAATGGGCTTTATTTCTGTGGCAAGCTCGGATTCAATACGATATAAATTGAAGCGATCGTCAAAAGTGATGAGATTGATGGCGAGGCCGAGATGCCCGAAGCGACCTGCACGCCCAATGCGATGCAGATAGGTTTCAGACGTCTTTGGAAAGTCAAAATTGATGACAACATTAACGGACTGAATGTCAATACCACGTGTGAAGAGGTCGGAGGAAACGAGGTGACGAGTAGAGCCATTGCGGAACTCGTGGAAGACGCGATTACGATGCGATTGCTGCATCTTAGCGTGGATGTAAAAGCACGAGTAGCCGAGTTCGGTGATCTTTTTGGCGAGTAATTCCACACGGTTGACTGAGTTGCAAAAAATGACTGACTGATTAATCTCAAGCTTGGTGAATAGTGTATGTAGGCAATGCACCTTTTGTCTTTCCTCAACAAAAGCATAAAACTGGGTTATGCCTTTTAGCGTGAGATCATCCATGAGATTAATTTCGTAGGGATTGTGGATGAATTTTTCCTTGAAATTTTTCACCGTAACAGGGAACGTCGCTGAAAAGAGACAGATCTGGCGCTCGGGGGAGCAGTGGTGCACGAGTTTTTCCAGGAGGGGCTCAAACTCCGGCGAAAGCAGCTTGTCAGCTTCATCCATAATGACCGTATGGCAGCGACCCAATGCTGCGACGCCCTTCTCTGATAAGTCAAGAATGCGCCCTGGCGTGCCGACAAGTACGTGGACAGGCTTGTATAGACGCATAATGTCATCCTTCAGGGAGGTCCCACCAGTGGATACCATGCACTCAACTTTCATGTGTTTCCCAAGTTCACGGACTACAGCTGATGTTTGAAGTGCAAGTTCCCGAGTTGGGATTAGGATGAGCACTTGTATAAATTTTTTCGAGGGGTCTGTTTTCTCGAGGCAGGGAATAATGAACGCTGCAGTCTTGCCAGTCCCATTCTTAGCACGTGCGAGAACGTTTCGGTTCTGGAGTATAATCGGAATCGCTCTCTCCTGGACAGGCGAGGGTCGCTCAAACCCCTTCTCAAATATGCCCATCAAGAGCTCGCGCTTCAGAAAGTAGTCCTCAAATTCCTGCCCTCGCGTTAGAGTTACATCTTCAGTTTGGTATCGAGTGTCCTTAGTTGGTAGTTGCAAGTTGTCGCGCCACGTCTCATCATCATCTGCTGAAGGATGCATAGCGTGTGAGGTTACAAGTGACGCCATACGCTACAATCTTTGTACAAATTCGACGCCACCTGTCGTATGCAGTCGGCGAGAAGTGATCAGGATCAATCACCGCGGAGGGGGATCGGGGTGTAAGTACCGCCGAGCTCGGACTCAGGAGGCCGCCAATGGCGAGCTTGAGCGCGGACGGGAGGCCGCCGGCCGTCGATGATCGAGAGATAGAGATTTCTCCCATCAGGCTGAGGGTAGCTTCACACGGCAGGGCAGCCCCACTAGGCTGCCTCCCCGTGTCGGAGTTTACTATCTCGCTACAGGCTGAGAGTCCGCGCTAGTGTCCCTAGGCTACCAGGGGAGACCAGAGGTAATATCTACTTAGTATTTTAGTCGACGGGCTTTACAATCCTTTGACAGGATGCGCAGTAGGGGCGCAGTGGGGTATGGTAGTATAAGGCAGACTTAGCATAGCCACTGGCAGCATAGGCCAGTATGAGTCTCAAGCGGCAAGGACTTCGTCGCGCGTGGCTGTCGGCGCTCCCCAACATGGAGTTTTCGCACGTGGCTGTCGGCGCTCGGCATGGGCGCCCCCCAAAACCCACGCCTACTAGTAAAACACCCGAGGCGCGATATGCAAAGCCAGTCCTAGATTATGAAGTTTGAAACGCCAGGGGTTGATTTTGCCTTAGCACCCAGTCGATTCAGGAGCCCGGGTGGATGACTGTAGTGAAGGGGCATGCGGGGTACTAGTCGGAGCTAGTGCAGGCTGTGCACTCAAATTGCATCCACGTACTCTCTGAAGTTTCTCAAAATGACTGTCATGTTTACCTTTACCTGGACCAAAATGATCATCTAGAAAACATGGACGATACGCCGAAATTTGCCTTCCCAACTGGAACAGTAACCAGACGACAGCGATTTGCCCAAGCAGACTTTGTACATATCACGTCGCGGTTTGTGAGTTTCGCCGTGTTACCCACAAAAAACTCTGTTACTTCATCTCGCATGGATCCAGTCGGCCGCCAACAACAAATTGACAGCTCGGAAGGACCTGAAGTTGTCGGCAGATGACAGAAACCATAACCGGCCAGGCGCGAACAGCCATGCTAAAATGATTAATTAATATCAATTAGCACCGTGAGAAACACGCACCTCGTCAAGTTGGTGAACTTGCACCTCAAGCTTGGGCCAACCAAGAGGAGACCGTGCCGCGAAATGAGCATCAAGAGGGTGGTTCCATGGAGCGCAATGGGCAAAGGATGACGACGCCGTTTGCGTTTGCCCATGGACGTCACCCTGTGAATTTATCAATGTATGAAAATAACGACCGAGGTCTTCACCTCTAGCAGTATCCACGAATCATCCCATATCAACTGCCAGCTACACGCCATGCCAAATCGCATATTTTCAAACCCATCTCCATGAAGTATTTCGCCGACGAACATTATCTCCGGCACCAATTCAGCCTCCGTGAGTAAGCGCCAATCTGTCCGCTTTCGTTCGCCTGCTAATGCGCGTAATGACTAACT